ACCCGTTACCCTCGGGGTGCGTCGCTTGGGCCACGTGTTGTTTTAACTCGTAGCCTTTTAAGAAATGGCAAAAAGCGTGACCTGTGAAAACAGAGTTGCAATTGGAATGAATAATTTCAAACAAGCTGTATTGGCAAAAACTTCTGCAAGGAAAGGGATGACTGTTTTGGAGTCGGCCGCTAAGATCAGCTGCGTGATCATATACTTGCTGAAATGATCCACTGCAATTAAGGCATACCTGAAGCCGTCCTTAGTTTTCGGGAGGGGCCCGTAGAAGTCCAGGACAAGGCATTCCCGGGGGCGGTTTGATTTGACAGCACTTAGGTGTGCGCCTATGAGCTGGGTGGGCTGGTTATATTTAAAACATAACTCACAGGACAAGATGCATTTCCAAACGTCCTGTCACATTCTTGGCCATTCAAAGCAGTCGCGTAAAGTGAGAAGGACCTTCTTCCAGCCCGCATGGCCCAGTTCCGCATGATAGGCATCGATAATGGCTGTACGTTCTTGCTCACTTGGTTGCGTTCTGGTGACGGCGTTGTTTAATGAGATGCGGCTAAGGGTGTCTGGTGCTTGCAGAGCCTTGCCGGCCCAATGTAATAGCTCAAAGTTGAAGGTAGCCAGTTTTGCCTGCAGACTTACCAGTCTTTCTGACTGTAAACGACCTAGCAAAGCTTTGTGATCGGAGGCACGTGGCGCTTAAGAATTTGGAGGGTGCTTGCATCACCTCCTGAAAACTGGTAAAGATGCGCTTTCCATCTAAAGTAATCGTCACAGGAAGCTGCAAGAGCATTGTTCTTCCCATGATAATGGGGAAATTGCACATGCCGGGAAGCACGAGAAAAGACCCGGCGTGATCAGTATTTTGAAAACAAAAAATGGTTTTGGCCATGCGAGTTACGCGAGAAGCCTTGGGGCTCAGCGCGGTGCTCACAGTCATGTAAAACGGCGCTGTTGGAATGGCTAATTGATGAATGATCTTGTCAGAAATAAACGAATGAGAGGCGCCGGTGTCAAGTAGCGCGGTCAATGAGCATCCCAAAATACGAATCGGTATTGAAATTGGCAGGGGTGCGGCCTGAATATTTGTTGCAAAACAGTGAGCCACGTTCACTGTTACGACCTCGTGTTTCCCTGTACCTGTGGGCATTCTTTGGCATAATGACCAGATTTACTACAATGAAAACAGGTTACACTCGCTGTATCCAAAGAATTTCCTTTTGCGGAGGACAAGGATGAGGAGTTGCTAACCTGTCGCATTGACGTGGCATCTGCGGTGGATTGTGCAGAACCTGTTTGGCAAAGGCGCAATCTGCATTCCTGTGAGCTGTGTCTGACGTCCTTCTTGTGGAACTCACACCATTGTTTTGGTGGGAGATTGATCTTTTGTTTGGGACCGGTTTTGCTGGAGGAATTTCTGCTGGCTGCTTTCGGGTGGTTCAGACGGTACGTCTCTGCCATGTCAATGAAATCGTCCCAGGTGATGTGGCGATGTTTCAGCCATTTTTTGTGAAGCTCGTCCCGCAGACCTGACTTGGCGGAATTTAGCAGTTGCTCTTTTAGGACTGCACATTGCTGTACAACCCAGCAAATAATTTGGGCATTTTGAAATGCATTTTAAATGCATTTCTAGCCCAAAATGCTATGCATTTCAAGCTCCTCTATGTTACGCCTACTCAGGATTTTGAATAATGCACAACAGATAGGCGTTTTGAAACACCCTCTAGTTACAGCTAGGTATTGATCCAGGCGTAACTCAAGTTACGCCTGGATATATCTGATGGAATAATACCGCAGAGTTCCCCAAAGTATGCAGCCAAGAGTTCCCTGCAGTATGCAGCGGAGAGTTCCCCGCAGTACGCAGCCAAGAGTTCCCTGCAGTATGCAGCAGAGAGTTCCCCGCAGTACGCAGTGGTACCCAGGGTTCTCTACCCTACCACCGGTATTATACTGGCGCTAGGGTAGAGTTCCCTGCAGTATGCAGCAGTACACAGGGTTCTCTACCCTACTGCTGGTATTATACTGGGGGTAGTGTAGAGTTCCTTACAGTATGCAGCAGTACGTGGGGTTCTCTACTGCAGGTATATTACTGGAGGTACGGTAGCAAACCCCGCGTACCACTGCGTACTGCAGGGAACTCTACCGCCAGTATTATACCGGTGGTAGGGATGTGTACTGCCAGTATTATACTGGCAGTAGAGAATCCCACAATGTATTATCACTGTGATTGGCCACGGTATTATTACCGCAGCCATTCACAGCATTGCAGGATGGATCCAGCAGTCCAGATCTGCGCTGCAGTGAAGTAAAATACCGCAGTTTTGATGATTGGCTGCAGTAATAATACCGCAGCCTAGCTGTATTTTTAAAATAAGAAATGCACCACAGTATTTTTAAAATCATATGTGCGCTGCTGTATTTTTAAAATATTGGACTGAAAATATTGGAGTTACACAATTAGATCATGTAAAAACATCATTGGCTTTCCTGAAAAATTTTTAGCAACCTTTGTGTGACATGAGTGGAGAACTGCACCTCCACTCATGTCACAGGTTGCTAAAAATGTGTCAGAAAAGCCAAAAAAAAATTAAACTTGGTTTGTTCTTTTAACCATGATGTTTTTACAAGATCTAATTGTATAACTCAAATATTTTCAGTCCAATATTTTAAAAATACAGCAGCTCACATCTGATTTTAAAAATACTGTGGTGCATTTCTTATTTTAAAAATACAGCAGGGCACATCTGATTTAAAAAAAAGTCAGTAAAAAAAATTTAAAAGCATGTTCCAAGTCCTTGCTTGTACCAGATGTACGAGGAAGGGCCAGTCTACATAGGACGAGGTTATTCCATATTCCTCATTACGAGGATAGTCCAGTTTCTGCCATACGAGGTTGTTCCAATTTTAGGAAAAAAAATATGTTGACGATTTTATTCCATTTCAGCAACAACAAAAAATTTTGAAAAATACGAGGTTATTCAGGTTATTCCTGACCATGATATTCCTGACGAAATTAAATCTCCACGACATTATTCCAGCTTGACGAGGTTAGTCCTGGCGACGTTATTCCAGCCACCCGTGCCGACCATCTGAGAGATGTCAAAGTCCGTTAGACCGAATACAGTACTGTAATTATTCAAATTAGAAATAAAATAAAGAACACACCCAGCCCCCGAATAAATGGAAATTTACGAGTCATGTGTGTGGGCTGGTTTTCGTCCTTTCATCGATGGATCGATATTCGAGCCTGGTTCTTATCGGATCCGAAAATAATTGGAGTTCTGCTGCGTACAGTATTTTAATTTTTTTTAAATGAATTTTTGTCACATCTTTCATCAGCGTGATAAGAAAAAAAGAAAGATCGAAAGCGTACCTTTGTTTACTAGCAAACAATAAAGCTTCCAACGTGTCAGATTTGTTCACGGTTCGCTCCTTTGGAATCTGGTTCACGTCATTATTATAATTTTTTATTTCTTCATGAGGCGTCTCTATCATATCTGATTTTAAAAATACTGTGGTGCATTTCTTATTTTAAAAATACAGCAGGGCACATCTGATTTAAAAAAAGTCAGTAAAAAAAATTTTAAAAGCATGTTCCAAGTCCTTGCTTGTACCAGATGTACGAGGAAGGGCCAGTCTACATAGGACGAGGTTATTCCATATTCCTCATTACGAGGAAAGTCCAGTTTCTGCCATACGAGGTTGTTCCAATTTTAGGAAAAAAAATATGTTGACAATTTTATTCCATTTCAGCAACAACAAAAAAATTCGAAAAATACGAGGTTATTCAGGTTATTCCTGACGATGATATTCCTGACGAAATTAAATCTCCACGACATTATTCCAGCTTGACGAGGTTAGTCCTGGCGACGTTATTCCAGCCACCCATGGAAATGTAAACGAGGCATCAGAGGATGGGCTGAATGAAAGAGGCAGCAGATAACTCAGCCATTTTTCGTGTCATGTTCAATCCACTTTTCTGAACTCACCCTTGAAAATTCCCGAAGAAACTCGATTGTGTTCCGGCTTCATTGAAGCTGTCGCAAAATTTTGCGCAGCAGGATTTCCTCGAACATTTGTTCAAAATGGCGACAAGTACATGAACTTTTCTGCATTTTTGCGTAGAGTCTGGATTTCTGCCAACAGTACACCTGTCAGTAGTGCGCTGAAAGAATGTCGGACAGACTCTTATTTTTTGCTTTGTAATGCTGAGCATTTTCACGAAAGCAGTAAAACTAGGAAGCTTATTTTAGGCATGGATCAACGAAAGCTCCGACCCTGGAAAAAGTTATCCCATGTTCGGAAAGACCAGCATCAGTCAACAATATAAATGAGGCGCCAATTGGATACTGTTGATTCTTTCGTAGTACCGATTCTGTACTTTTTTTGAACTGCGGAGACTTCATGTACTGTTCTGAGAAAACGGTGCCTCAAGTATATCAAACCAAATCGGTTTTTTTTAAAGCGTTAATTGTTCGTAACGTTTGGAACATGGGAGCGGAAGTGTTGTAGAAAAGTGCAAGATCCAGATTACAGTTGTTTAAAACGCGACGCAAAATTTTGTTCCGTCCTTGAAAGTACAATAGATTTGTAAGCCAATAAGGTTGAGATCTGGAAACGAAACAAGGCCAGTTCAAAGGGTACTTTTGTTTTCCCGAACACTGTGGGCAATTGTATTTTTCTGTTGTACGATGTATATATTTTTTCGAGAGTACGGTAGCTAATTACATTGTTGCTCTTGAACGAATGATTGCGGAAAAGTAAGGCTATTGAATCAGCGTCAGCCAATTTATTGCATTTGAATTTTCAATGAGATCACGGCTTAGGGTAAAGAAACAACTTCGTGAAGCGAATATTTGTGCGAGAAAGTCTGACTTGATCATTGGAGTCGCGTGTGGGTTATTGACTTGAAATTTTTTTTCGGGATACCGTTGATGTGTACAGTACAACCACAGTATTTCGTCACCCTTCCCCATAATACCAGTATAAAAAGCGGACGCTGTATTACAACAGGGGTCCTTCTATTTTTTATCCCATAAAATATCTTTCCATCCCATGTTTAAAAATGACCAGAGAACAATTCAGGGAACAACGAAAGTCTTCATCAGAGTTCTTTGGAAGCAACTATGGCAAAACAATGAATTAAAGATTCCAGAATCCTAAGATAATTTGAAAAAATTAATCACGACACATTGTTACTGTTGAATGCATCAACACAGCTGAAACAAGTTTCAAAGTTAATAAAAACAATTATTGACATTTTAGTAGGACAAGGGACCTTGATTTAAAGTCAGTTTTATTATCTTTGATTTTATATAAAGATTGAAAATTCAAAGTTCACATGCCTTCATGCATCAAGTGTGTCATCTTCTAAAAATTCTTTGAATTCCTTGAGGATTCTTCAATACTGTGGATTCTTCAATACATTTCATAAAACTTTTAAATAACAGGCACAGGAAAAGAGAATAAATATTACATCAAGAAGCTTGAACACAAAAGAAAGAGAAAATTTGAATAATACTTCAGCAATTGGATAGAACACGGCCAGTGGGAGGCTTCAAGCAGCTGGTCAAGCTTGTCATACTCTTCTCATCATCCTTGTCCCTGTAGCTGTCCAACACCTTCCTAACATAATTGAAGTCACCTTCACTCTTGAACTGGACACATTTCTTGCTTTGTCTAGCAGTAGAACTTTCTCCAGCCCAGTTGAAATCATCACCACACTCATCAGGCATTACAACACTGGCATCAACTGCTGTTGTGATAGTTGGTGTGTCTGCAAATTGCCTCCTGGGGTCAAGATCCGATTCTGGACTGATCAACAGCATACGTTTGGCATATGGGATGAGGTGAACCGGTAGAATAGATGGGATATCAAGACCACAAGTCCTTCTGAACATGAGATGCATTGCCAGCACAAATTCATCCCTGTCCAGCATGCCATCTCTATCAATGTCTGCCATGCGCCAGATTTTCTCATCAACCCAGTCAAGTAAATTGAACATTTTTATTGCTGGATCAGCATCAACAATATTGACCTTGCTGTGCTTCTTGTTGAGCTCATTGAAGAGATTTTCATACTTGACTGCAGGCTTGAAAAGAGCCCATTTGTTCAAGTAGCTATTCCTGTAATCATAGCGCCTATTGGAGTAGGAAATTTCATCCTGATCCTTTGGATTGGGCTGAGGGATCCCTTCATGCTTATAAGCTCTGAAGACCATGTAGTCAGTTCTTTCCTTGATAGGGGGCAAGTCTTTGTTTATGACTTCCTGGGCACCACAGTACAACAACCTATCCAGGGGCTGCATGGTTCTGAAGTCCCTGTAAATGAGGTGATCCCACATGTAGCTGGTGTCTGGAAAGTATTCACAGAAGAGGCCAAGCTGGCATTGCAAGCGGTTATAGATGGAGTCCAGTTCATAAATGCGTTTTGAGCGGATTTTCTGTTGGGTCTTTTCATCCTCATATGAAGGAAAATTCTCCACAAGGGCTGAAAGAACCTGGGCATGAATCTGTGCCAAACTGGCTCTGTGTTCCAATTCCCACATTTTACGGTGCAGGGTAAGCAAGAATGCATACTTGAGCTGAAACATGAGTTCTTCTTCTCCCATCATTGCATCTGCTGCAATATTTCCCTCATCCTCAGCTACAGAAAGCAAGTTACATGTGAGTCTTTTCCTATAGATTTAGCATATGTATAGCAATTTTACCTTCTTCCTCCTCTTCTCCTTCATCTTCACCACCCCTCTGTCTATCATCACCTCCAGGTTTGCGCTTCCCTGCCTCCTTGCCTTTGCCAGCCTTGCCAGCAGATGTCTTCTTCTTGTCCTTATCTTTATCAGCCTTAGCATCTTTGCCAGCCTTTCCACCAGACAACTTCTTGCCACCTTTGTCATCCTTTGCACCCTTTCCAGCCTTCCCCCCAGACAATTTCTTGGCCTTTGATGCTGGAGAAGCTCCACCAGCATCTCGATCTTCACCTTCACCTTCTCCCTCTTCTTCTTCAATGCCCTCATACTCTCCCTCACTCCATTTGCGACAATAGGTCTTTGGGGGAGTCACAGATGCCATTGTGGTGCCAACTGTCCAATAGACTATGGTGTGATTCCTCAGGAACTCAGCTGGATCCATGTCAAGGGACTTGGTGTAGACAATTGACATTTTCTCCCCAGAGAACCTGATCATACGAGAGTTTAAATATTAAATATATCTATAAAATGTTCTGCTACAGGATGCAAACCTCATCATGTCTAAAGATCTCAAGACATGAGGGGACAGGCAATCAGGTATAGCTCTTGCATTGAAAAACAGGAAGATCCTGTCTGCTTTCTTTGCCAAATACTTCAAGATGGACAAGTACTCATAAGTTGGTGGTTTGCTCCTTGTGCCCCAGGGAATTCCAGGAAAGTCAATAATGGTGACATACTGCAATGCTGGGGAGTTGCACGTAATGACTTGAACCTTATCAGCAATGCTTTTCTTGGCAAGAACAAGGGATCCAATGCGTTCAAGAACTGGAGAAGCACAGCTTTTGAAAGCACGCTCTCCAGGGAGCACCCAATCATCCTGACCATAGGTCACAATGGACATGATGTCATTGGGCTCATTGATTGCAGCCCTAGTGTTGGTGGCCACAAAATCCTTCTGGACATAATCTGCTACAAAAAGTGATCTACCAGATCCCATAGGTCCTACCTGTAATTTTGTATGAATGTCTTGATGCTATTTTGAAACTCTTGGCAAGTTTTAAATGTTTGTCATGATTGAAGACAAAAAGCTTTACTGTGAAGACACTTCATACCAAAAGAACAAGAGCAGTGGGCCCAAAGTAGTTATCATTCAATGGCCGGGTGTAGAAATCCTCAAAACGATATTTTCGCTCCAATGGTAACACTTTCTCCTTGTAAGCACATCTCATATCCTCCAAGAAATTGAGGGTTTCATTTTCAAAATCAGGTAAAGGCTCTTCCTCATCTTCTCCTTCTTCATACATTTTGAGCTCTAGGAAATTTCAACTTGATTAATTGCAATGCTCACCAATTTGATGTGCTTAAAGCAGAAAAAGAGCTGGAGGAACCAAGAAAAAGTATTGATGAAGTTCTAATATGTTTTTCTTCCACAAAGAAGCAGGTAGCATTCAGCAACCTTCAATGGGTTCCATTTAGATGACATCATTTTCAGTAATTACCAGACCCCTGAATTATTCTGAAGATCCACACTACGTGCTCAAAATGAAGTTAAATTAAAATGTACATCTGTACTAGCATGTCTGGAGCACTTTGGGGGAGCATCATACAGAAGAAATGAATCACTCAGGAAAGTTTACTCAGACAAACAAATTCATCAAACTTTGGTCTACTTTCTCTATATTTGCAGCTGCATTTTACTTCCAGCAATTAGTATGGAAATTGTATTGTAAAATATTGTTCAGCTTGGAAGGCCAACAAATACAATTATTCCTGCTGTACTTACCCTCTGAAAAAAATTTAGATGCATTCATTATAAGGCACCCCTATGGACCAATGTCATATTCAAGCCCTGATAACCCAATGAGCCATATTCTCCAAAGCATGCAGCATTCACACAATATACTGTATAATCAACCCCCCTAAATTTTTCATGCACCAAAAAAAGCAAGTACAGTATAAGCACTTGCTTACTTTCCTGTTGCTCAGTCTTTCAAGGAAGCTATCATTTCAGAAAAATTTGTTTTAGGGTTTTCCCCCAAAAAAGAAAAAACGGAGTTACAAAATCCTTGCTCTTCTCCTTCAATCTATGACTCGTGCATATTGAAGAGTTGAAGGGTGACCATTTATATATTCAACTTCAATTTCCAAAAGAACTGAAGAAAATATGCATTCAATCATTTTGTGGTGCCCAAACAGGAATATTTCCTTACACAGATGCATATTTATGCAAACCGCAAAAATAAGCACATACCCCTAAATTTGTGAGCTTCTCAAAATAAAATAGGGGGCTTATACTGTATTTGCGTAAATATGATGAGTCTCTTCCTCTCTGGAGTCTAGCCCATTTTATCTTTGATATCCGTGATTCAAGTATCTTTGAATTATCTAACTGATAATTCTGATAACCATGCTCAAAATCTTACACTTATCCAATTTGAATTTTCTTGAATATTCAAAATCAGTACAACCATACATTTTAATTGTAACATCCTACAAATATCTCAAAAACAAAATTTCGCATTGTATGTTCAATATTGTTCTGGTAAGTTACATGCATAACTTCTGGCCGCACCTTTGTTCATTACAATGCGTAGAAGATTTTTTTTGTATTTTGATGCTCTCAATCATTTTAGTTTCTTTCTGTTACAATCAAAATTTTAAAAAACTACGCGCCTAATTAATTTTGGAATGTATTCTCCAGTGTTTTCTCTTATGTACTTGAACCCCATTTCCGACAGGCATCATCCGGAGTTGAACGGGTATTAAGAGCATGGTTAGGCGAAGGCGCAGCCCTTTAACTGTGTGAGTGCTTTTAAAATGTGGGTTCACCGAAAAATTTCATAACAATCCGGGCTCCCCAATTATGTTCAAAACTCGTTGTAGGGCACCACGTGTGTAATTCCCAAAGAATGCCTCAAGTTCATCGCCGTTGCGGCTGCATAGGGCGAAACCCGCGGTGTGTTGTGATGGGATTCTCGAGGCCCATCCGAGTGTGATAAGAACTATGGGGGCGCTCGGAGGTTGGTTCGTTTCGTTTGCGTAATGACCTTCGTATTGCGAAGCCCCTTGGCAGACAGAATAGCACGTAATCTTCGGAAGAAGATTCTTTTCTCTCTCTCTTTTTTTTGGTAGCTATCTTGTATTATTTTCTTATATCCTGCTCGTTTCTTTACAACCGCCCCCAGGCTTTCGGATATACTCGCCGATTTTCAAGGCTGGAACTCGATACCCGTAACTCTCGGCGGGGAAAGGTACGTTCGGTATAATCATTCTGGGTTCCTTATCTTGAGGAAAGCTCGGGTATCAACTGAGCTTTCGAAAGGATATGACAAATACTAATCACGTTTCTGTAGTCTGTACACGTGACTACACAATAACTGAGAGCCACCCAAGTGACCCCACTGAACACCAGGGGAAAATTGAGGGGTTCCGCAGATATCTTATGGGGGCAGGGGTTTACACAAACATTTCTTTGAAGAAAAAAAAAACGAGCCACTTCGAAAATTTTTCGCAGAGAAGCCGTGAAAATTGAGCTTTTTACAAAAATTTTCAACAATTATGGTCTTCGTATTGGTGTGAAACGCAGATTATAAGGAATAATTTTTCAGTCATTGAATTCCCTCGTCATGTGCTTTGCGTGAATCGAATGAGATATGATAATATAATTGACCAACAGATTATGACTAATAAAATCACAGAAAAACTGCTATTCAATTCTCTTCAAGTTGATTTTCACGTGACCAGCAAAAACAAATTCCACTTAGGGAGGTTTTGAATAAGGGAAACAAGCATTTTTGTTGGGAAAAATTTAGAATTGCTGGAAATTGTAAATGGTGATTTTCTGGGTCTTAAATTGCTTCTCAAATGAGTTTACGGCATGCTGAACTTGGAGGCAGGGTTCGTTTGCCCCATCAGTCTTTCACCTCCTTTCAAAATATATGAAGTTAAATTTTTATTGCTTTTCTCTTTCCTGTGTCCAGAAAATAATAGCCGACATGCCTCAGAAAATTCGAGTTATGAAGATTTTAAAGCCTTGTACCGAATGGAATTCAGACTAGGACTCGGACAATTTGACTGAAGGAGGTTCAAGTTATTGCGGTTCAACTCTTCTTCGTATTGGTGTAAAATGCAGATTCCAGGAATAGTATTTCAGTAATTGAATTCCATCATCATGTGCAAATAATGACGAATGAAATTGTTGAAAAACTACTAATATTATTTAAAAGAGTCGTGCAAGCTTGGTGTGATTCTTGAGGATGAACGTGGGAATGCCATTGAAGCGAATTTCTGATCAAATGAGGAAACTTCATGAAACTCTCGACGGGAAACTTTTGAATTCAAAAGGCCGTCTAATCTTCATTCCTGTGTAGAGTGTAGCTGTGTGGCTTTGAGAACTACACGTCTTTGGAGATAACAGTTCGACGGGTAGCTAAGGTATTTGGTCTTTGATGCAAGATTCATTTCGAACTCCGAATGTGCTTTGTAACTCGGCTTTAGTCGCGATGACGTTGAATGCTTTAATCTATATCGTGTGTCTTGAGTGTGGGAACACTATCTTATACAATGGTGTTACCTGCTACATTGACTCAGTCGCGGCCTCGGGGGGAAAACGCAGAGTGTTCGATTGAAAAATTATGCACTGTATTGGTAGAAAAAGCTATGTCGAATTTCATTTCGTTTTGGTTCGCCGGTTTTTTAGTTATTTAAATTTTGAAATTCAAAGAAGAATAACCGCATTTGAGAGAAAAGGGCTGTGTTGAAACGTTGAGCATATGGTGTGCAAACGATGTTGTTTGCATTGTGAGTAAGAAAGAAACTTGATCTTCACTGATACCCTGTCACGTTGAACACATGGCAGCCCAAGATGGCATTTCCATTGTCGCCGGGATTGTGTTTTTGTGTTTTAAATCCTGTACGAAATTCCCTAATTTTTCCCTCTTAATCCTTCAGCATGTTTTGATGATTTTCACCGTGCGTGTACGAGGCGTAATTTTTCGATGCTCGCTGTCGAAATAATTTATTCACCGTTTTCTAAAAAAATAATATACGTACAGTATCTTTGGCTTTTTGTCAATACTATACGATTCAAGGCTATGGAAAATGTCAGCATCCGATACGATTTTTACTTTATTTAGCCATGGACAAATATCGCCTTCACGTCTGAAACAGAACCAATGGAATATGTTCGTTCGATCATCTTTCGTATTCTTTTGAAGTCTAAGTGAAGAACGTCGATTGATATTGGTACTGTTTTATTCCGGAAAAACTTGATACGTGTATCATGCCTCCAATAGTTTTCACCCAACAAGAAGAAAAATATAAAAAAATTAATGATCTTCGAGCGTGTTCAAAATTTTCTTAGCGAGGTCCAGTATTTTGAATTTACTTCAATGGTTTTTTTTCTCGTGAATTCATGAAGTACGAAGTGGTAAAATATACTTACAGGTTAAGCTCAAATCTGTTTTCTCAAATCCTTTTCCATGTCAAGCCACATCTTATCAACTCGAAAAAAGCTACAATTTTTTCTACCATAAGACCAACAACGAAGACGTTGGCGACGCCAAAATTAGGTCCTGCTCAATATTGTTTTCCTCGACGAGGCAGTAAAATTTATAAATCGAGGTTCATCCCATTTGAAAGTGCACTAGAATCTAGATCTAGATTATTTTGAAAAGCTTCTCTTAATTTACTACGCTACTCATTGATAATGAATACTTCTAAAAGAAATACTCGAGCTTCGCTGTCTTCCATCTTCGTTACTATTTTTTGAAGCTTCTTCCTGGAAAGTGATTTCTGAAACATTCAACGATGTTCGAGAGCTGTGATCTTCTGACATGCGAGACCTAACCTTAAAATGCCCTGTGGTTTCAGCCGGCCTTTGTTGTCGGTTTACCTTGAAGCTGCATTGTTGAGTGTACTGTATCATCAAGTATTGCACTTGATGCGTGATCGGCGTCTCATTCAATTTCCTACTGTTGTACCATAGCTACAAATTCGAAGAAACGTCGGAGCACTTATGTTTCTCTGGAACGTATTACTTCAGGAAATTGAGTAACGCTGCTTCGACGCGAGGCAAGCGATGCGCTTTTGTTCGTCGCTCTTTTTTGCAAAGATTGAAAGATACGAGTTACCAAATGAGAAATTATTGTTCATCGAAAATGTTTTGTTGTTGCTGTTGAAGATGGAGAGTCTTTGAATTGATTCGATCACCCGCGAAAACGGCTTTCGTTTCAACTCGAGCAGTAAATCTGTGGGGCACCATTGCTGGGTAATTGTTGAATATTTTCCAGCACCATTACGAAGCAATTCCCTCAAACTGCCGGGTTCGACGGCAGATGATTTTTTCTTTGCTTGTATTTGCCGACGAGGTCTTTTGGTTCTGCTGGAAAATCTCTGGGAATGTGATTAATCTGAAAATTAACTTTCACCTCAAAAGATGAGGGACTATTGCACATTCGCGTATACGCGAATGATGTACTGTACTAGGAAAAT